CAAAAGGTAGTACCAGTCATAGTGTAAGTCAGTACCACATTATGGAGAATTAGTACCAGATATCCTGTCCCTAGTACCACTTGTAATAAACAAATAAGAAAACCGAATTTCGGTCGCAAATGATGTTTATACGTCCCATGATCACTTTGACATTAGTTTATATAAGATTTTAAATGTTCTTGATTGAGTTTAACCGCAAATTTGTCATGAACTCGATACAATAATGAGAAAACACTACTACTAGACTTCATTTCATTGAATGACACACTTCATCTCATAGAAATCATCATACATGACTATTTCAAATTCTACCTATATGTTTTCCATTCCACTTTTTTTTCATCCAAATCACGTGTAAACGATCCACGTGTCATGGTAGACATGAAGGATTAAAGAAATCACGATTCTGATAATAGTATCGGTTTTGGGCAACATAGTACCGCATCTTATTTTGCGTAGTACCTGATGTTAATCGAATAGTACCTACTTTTTTTGAAGAAAAAATGATTATTTCAATTCTGCTCAACATTTACAAAAAGTAGTACCAGTCATAGCGTAAGTCAGTACCACATTATGGAGAGTTAGTACCATATATCCTGTCCCTAGTACCACTTGTAATGAACACATAAGAAAATCGAATTTCGGTCGCAAATGATGTTTATACGACCCATGAACACTCTGACATTAGTTTATATAAGATTTTAAATGTTCTTGATTGAGTTTAATCGCAAATTGGTCATGTACTCGATACACTAATGAGAAAACACTACTACTAGACTTCATTTCATTGAATGACACACTTCATCTCATAAAAATCATCATACATGACTACTTCAAATTCTACCTATATGTTTCCAATTCCACTTTTTTTCATCCAAATCACGTGTGAACGATCCACGTGTCATGGTAGACATGAAGGATTGGAGAAATCGCGATTCTTATAATAGTACCTATTTTGGGCAACATAGTACCGCATATTATTCTGCGTGGTACCTGATGTTAATCGAATAGTACCTACTTTTTTGAAGAAAAATTGGTTATTTCAATTTTGCTCAACATTTACAAAAAGTAGTACTATTCATAGTGTTAGTCAGTACCACATTATGGAGAGTTAGTACCAGATATCCTGTCCCTAGTACCACTTGTAATGAACACATAAGAAGACCGAATTTCGGTCACAAATGATGTTTATACGACCCATGATCACTCTGACATTAATGTATATAAGATTTTAAATGTTTTTGATTGAGTTTAATCGCAAATTGGTCATGAACTCGATACACTAATGAGAAAACACTACTAATAGACTTCATATCATTGAATGACACACTTCATCTCATAGAAATCATCATACATGACTACTTCAAATTCTACCTATATGTTTTCAATTCCACTTTTTTTTCATCCAAATCACGTGTGAACGATCCACGTGTCATGGTAGACATGAAGGATTTGAGAAATTACGATTTTGATAATAGTACCAGTTTTGGGAAACATAGTACCGCATCTTATATTGCATGGTACCTGATTTTGATCGATTAGTACTAACTTTTGTGAAGAAAAATTGATTATTTCAATTCTAGTCAACACTTACAAAACATTGTACCAGTCATAGTGTAAGACAGTACCACATTATGGTGATCTAGTACCAGATATTTTGCCCCTTGTACCACTTGTAATGAACACATAAGAAGACCGAATTTCGGTCACAAATGATGTTTATACGACCCATAATCACTCTGACATTAGTTTATATGAGATTTGATATTTGGTTAATTAAGTTTAATCTCAAATTAGTCACGAACTCAACACACTAATGGAAACACACCTTAATACACTTCAACTCATTGAATGGTACCAGTTTCTACGGAAATAATACCTCTGTTTCTTCTACGTAGTACCTGTTATTGATCGATTAGTACCAACTTTTGTGAAGAAAAATTGATTATTTCAATTCTGGTCAACATTTATAAAAAGTAGTACCAGTCATAGTGTAATGCAGTACCACTTTATGGCGCGATAATACCAGATATCATGTCCTAGTACCACTTGTAAATAACACATAAGAAGACCGAATTTTGGTTGCAAATGATGTTTATATGACCCATAATCACTCTGACATTAGTTTCTATGATATTTGATATTTGGTTAATTAAATTTAATCGCAAATTGGTCACGAACTCAACACACTAATGGAAAAACACTACTTAATACACTTCAACTCAATGACTGGTACCAGTTTTGACGGATATAATACCGCTTTTTCTTCTAAGAAGTACATGTTATTGATCAATTAGTACCAACTTTCTGGAATGAAAATGTAATATGCCGATTAAAACGTCTCAAAACTATTACATATATTGCAGTATAAAATGCCATTATATTGTACAAAAAAATATTACTCATAAAGTGTCATTTACTACCCACTATTTGGAATGAAAATGAGTACACAAGTATGGATGAGATTGCATTTCCAGATGGCAAACTGCTGATCCCCTTTGTATAACGATGCATATACTCTCCATTCACAATCCGCATCGCTACAACAAACGATGACCTTCTGCTTGTCATTTTTCCGATACTTAAAAGACCGCTTGTTTGCAATCGCGTAGTTTTTGACACTCTTTCGAAATTCGTCAGCCCCACTGAATATCTGCCCCTCTCATTTGATGCAAGATCTCCAAGAATCGATCGATTTATCTTGCAACAACTCATCTTCTCCCCCCGAGAAATCATTATACTGTACGTTTTCCCTGCGTTCATAACAAAATAAAACAATGATTTATAAATAATGGAACTATTTAAAAAATTAATGAACTAAGATATGATACGACTATACCATATTTCAATAATAAATTCATTAATATTATGAAAGCAACATTACCTGCACATGTTCATTGAGATCGATTGAACTCCATCATCCGGTCTTTCATTTCTTTAAATGGCAATTATCTCTACAATATTTATTTTCTAACAAACATGAAACCGAATCATGTTCTTCATATCCTCATCATACAACAAACTAACACTCTTTTTTTCCTTTGGCGCAATATAGCATAGCATGACAGATTCCAAATTAACGTTCGGCCACCTCTTTGATATGAGAGTGTACACTTCGTCAAGCGTTGATCCAATGTGCATAAAGAACACAAACAATTCATTCTTGTACGTACAACTCCTTAGTATATCACTTTGTGCCCCTTCCATGTATCTAACAATAATTGGATAAATAAAAAAAAACTTCACATTTCCTAGAAAAATATGGTACAAAACAGTATTAAAGTGGTACTATATACATACAAACAAAGGTACAATAATCAATAATAGTGGTACAATGATCATTCCCACTTTATTTTCTTGTTTTAGGGTGAATAACACATTACATAACCTAACAATAGCATCAATTTCGTATACATAAACAAGAAATAAGAGATTTTGATCAATTTAATTAATTTAGGGTAAATATGAACAACAATTTTCAAAATTCAATCTATAATAAATTAACCAAATATATACGAATTAAACATGATTTTTGGACTCCAAAATGCTCATATAATACATATATTACTTACTACTTCAAATTTTGGCTGGAAAAAACATGAATGTTGCCGGAAAAAATGAATTTTTGGCCTCACAAATTTGACGTTGGAATCACTTGTTTGGCCGGATTTGTTGTTGCCGGAGTTCTTCTCGTCGGATTTGGGTCGCCGAAGAGACCGACCTGCAAAAAATAAGGGAGATAAGAGAAATCGCCAGCGGGAATTGAGCGGGACGGGAGATAGGAGAGTTGTATTGGGAAGAAGCTTCAACAAAATAAAATAAAGGAAAAAGGAATGTGGGTATAAGAAAAAGAAAATATATAATAAAATAATATGTATATTACCTTGTAGTGAGGATGATGTCATAACTTGTTTTCTTTTTGATTTAATTTAACACTAGAGATTTAAGTGGAACATGATTATAGGGGTAGGGAGTTAGGAGGAAGAAAAAAAGGCCTAGGGACTGAGGAGAAAATTGAAAAGAGATTTAGAGATTTTTTAAGAAGTTGCCCAAAAAAAAAAGCGAAATAAATTTGCCCTGTTGGAAATTGGAGTAAAGGGATGGAAAAAAAAAAGATAAAATTGGTTCTAGCCATATGTCAACCTGTGATGGGTGCATAGTGAAAACAGTGCCACCCTCGCAGGTGGTATCGACTTAGCCCGGATTCAGACGGTCACAATGACGAATCTGCAGCTTTCATTCGTAAGATTCTTTCACACGCGCTGGGCACGTGTATAAGAAAAAGGCACTATCATGTCGTCAGCTATACCAAAAGAAATAACAAAAAAAAAAATGATGAAAATTCTATAACATGATTATGATTTATGACTCACTTTCCTTTCTTTCATTTCTTCTCCCTCCCTTCTCCCCTCTTTCTTTCTAAATATGTTTTTTTTTTTTGGTACAATGAACCTTCCGGTTTCCGAATCCCCTAGAGGACCGACTAATCCGGAATCGAGCCGGGTAGGACCACAAGGGCGGCAAAGCTCTACCTCAAGAGTTTTTAACACAGCTGCATTCCCAGGGCTCGAACTCGAGACCTCTGGTTAAGCTGGGAGAGACCCCAACCATCTCACCCACGTGCTCTTGGGTTATGTTTTAATATATCATTTTACTTGTTATCTCACTGCAATTTTCCCTGCGTACAGTGAATTTCTCCATCTCTGCATATCTTTTTTTTTGCCGTAGTTTTCAGCTAGGCAATTTGTCAAAATTTTCTGCTTCATTAATTTTAACCCAAAATATTTAAATTACCCGGCAGAGATGCCGGCCGCCGGCGATGAGTGTGGTTGTGCAGAGATAGCCAGTCACTTTTCCGACGGTATTTCCTAGACCAAAACTTAATTTTCCCACATCACCAAAACACTTGTCACCTCGAAAACTGCGAACCAAACCCTCACGCAGCTCGCACTCGCCACCTCTAAAAAAGCGTCTTCTTCTTCTTCTTCTTCTTCTCATCAATGTCTAACGCAAACTCACCTCCGACCAACGCTTCCCCGGAATTGGCGGCGGCCGGCGCCCTGAGCAAGCGGTACGAAGGTCTGGTGGCCCTCTGAACCAAGGCGGTGAAGGGGAAAAGTGCCTGGTACTGGGCACACTTTGAGCCCATTCTTATCAGGAGCCCGAAGACCGATTTTCCGACGGCCGTGAAGCTCAGGTGCACCTTGTGTGGTGCCATATTCTCCGCGTCAAACCCCTCGAGGACCGCCTCAGAGCATCTCAAAAGAGGGACCTGCCCCAATTTCAGCTTCACGATGAAGCCAATTTCTCAGCTGCCGCCTTTGGCCTCGCCATCTTCACACCGCAAACGGAGCTTGGAATCCCAACAAGCTGCAGGTATACCAAAAGAGTTTATTTCTCCTATGGAAATTTTTATTTTAGTGTGGAGATTCTCCATAAATTATTCTCAGATAATTACTCGAACGGAAGAAAAATCACATAGTGTAATTTACTCGAACGGAAAAAAAAAAAAAATCGCATCAATTGCTTTGTTGGTGAAGAAGTTCCAAAGAATTTTTCACAAATATTGTCTATAGAACCTACCAGTGGATTATTCAGGACTTTTTTTTTTTCTTGGGTTACTATGATAGGTACTTCTTTAGATGTAAATCCTATCAACGTTATTTATTCATCAAGAACCAGCCATGAAATGGCCTTTTTGCCGGCCCAAAGTACACAGACCCAAAAATCGAACCCGAAGCCGCCGATTCTGTCTGGCGGCCAAGAAGATTTAAGGCCTCTGGCCCAATTGGAAGACAGTGTCAAGAAGCTCAAGATCCCAAAATCTCTATCTATTCCCACTCTAAGCAAAGTCCAAATCGATACAGCTTTCGAACTTTTGGCCGATTGGTTTTACGAGTCGTGCGGCTCTGTCACATTCTCGAGTGTTGAGCACCGAAAATTCAATGCTTTTCTTAACCAAGTGGGCTTGCCCGAGTTCTCGAAAAGAGAATTCTTGTGCACAAGGCTCGACTCCAAGTATGCTGAAGTGAGAAGAGAGTCAGAAGCCAGAATTAATGATGCAGCCTTTTTCCAAATCGCCTCTGATGGGTGGAAAAGTAATAGTTCAAAAAATGGAGATAAATTTCTGGTTAATTTTAGTGTAAACCTTCCAAATGGGACTCGTGTGTTCCAGAAGGCGGTGTATTTGAATAAGGGCACTTTACCATCACAGTATGCGAAGGAAGTTATGTGGGATGCTGTTCAGAGTATATGCGGCAACAATGTACAGAGATGTGTAGGGATTGTTGCTGATAAGCATCGACAAAAGGCTTTAAAAAATTTAGAGCCCGAGAATAATTGGATGGTCAACGTGTCTTGCCAGGTTCAGGCATTCCTTAGTTTGATCAACGACCTTGTTACAGAACTCCCGCTTTTTAGTTCCGTAAAACAAAATTGCCTGAAAATCGCAAACCTGATTAACCACCACCCGCACGTCCGAAGATGCATCCGCAGCTCAGGATTCGAGTGCTGCGCCAATTTTATTCGAGTATTTTCCTCTAAATGCGACGTCTCGAAAAATTTCATCTCGTTTATGGTGATGCTGGAGGATTTACTCACTTGTTCCCAAATTCTGCATCTTCTCGTTTCTGATGAATCATATAAAGTCCTCTGTTTAGATCACATTGCCGCCAGGGAAGTTGCTGACATCATTCATGATGCGGGATTCTGGAAAAACGCAGAGGCCGCTCGTTTTCTTGTGATGCAAGTAATGTCCATGGTTAAAGAGATGGAGACAGAAAGGCCGTTACTCAGCCAATGCCTTCCCCTTTGAACGAGCTTAGGGCTAAAATTAAAGAATGGTGCGCCAAACACGACCTTATCGAGGGGCCCGTCGAGCGTATAATCGAGGCCCGTTTTGCAAAAAACTACCACCCGGCATGGCCAGCTTCGTTCATTCTCGACCCGCTAAATTTATTGACGGACGAAAACGGAAAATATCTGCCGCCGTTTAATTTGCTGACAAGCGTGCAGGAAGAGGATGTCGAGAGGCTTGTGATTCAGTTGGTACCCAAAGAGGAAGCTGACGTGGCATTAATGGAGCTCGTGAAGTGGAGGTCGGAAGGTCTCGACCCGTTGTATGCTCAGGCGGTTCAAGTCCGGCAAAGGGATAATTTGACGGGAAAACTGAAGATTGCTAATCCACAGAGTAGTCGGCTCGTGTGGGAGAGTTGCTGCTTGAAGGAGTTGAAGTCGCTTAGTAAAGTAGCTGTGAGGCTTCTTTTTTTACATGGGACTGCGTTTGGGTTCGAGTGGGACCGGGCCTCGATGGGGTGGTTTTGTGGGCCAGGGCCGGGGGTGGGCCTTGAGAGGGCCTAGAAGATGGCTTACGTGGCGGCCAGGCAAGGCTGGGGAAGAGGGATGTTTTGGGTGGTGAGGAGATGGAGCTTTGTGAGGAGGAATGTGATTTTTGTGCATAAGCCGTCATTCATTTTTTTTTTAAAGTTTTGTTTTCTAATTTCATTCTGTTTTAAGTTTTGACTCTTGTAGAATTTATGAGTGTAGGATTTGTTAATTTTTTTTTAATTATTATTTGTCTCTACTCGCTTAGTTTTACTTTTAGTTATTATAAATTATACGCGGGTCGAGGATATTTTGTCTTTTCTATTTTTTTTTTCAAAATTATTTTTTTATATACGTTTGAATATGATAAGCGCGTAGGGGACTGTAGTAGATTTAACTAATGATTGTCACGAAAATCATGATATTTGGATCAGTAATTGGAAGTTCGACGAATTTAGAGGATGATTGGATATAATTTTTTATTGTTTTGTTTAGATTTTTTTGTTTGGTTTGGTTAATTTTGAAAAAGTTGGTATGATTAGTTGTTAGTGGGGATATATTAGAATAATATTTAAAATAAAATGATTAAAGTTGATTTGATGTAAAGTAGGAGAGAGAAGATTTGAAGTGATTGTTAGTTAAAATTATGTAAGTAGATGAATAGTGAATTAAGGTAAGGTGGTGTGTAAGAATGATTGATTGATAATATCGATGATAGTGTGGTTGAATTAAAGTTGAGTTAAAAAAAGTGGTTGAGTTAAAAATATTTACATTTTTTTTAAGAAATTTTGTATCCAAGGGTGCTTAGCTCGCCAGCATTTTTCGGGCATTGAAATTATTCAACACTGTCGTGATCAGAGTGGAAGTTGTGTTGATGCTTGGCATAAGAGATTATTTTAAAACCGTCTAATAGCATGCTGAAATAACTATCTATATGAAATCTTGTTCTATTAAAAAAGTATGAGTTTGTCTTAATAGATAATTCCTTGCTAGTTTTTTCTTTGTCGTGGGTTAAGATATTTGTCTGAGTTCTGTTGGGGAAAGAAAACTTTGTGATTAGGGCGGCTTGTTTTTGTGTTCATTTAAAAGGACTCAATCCTAATATGAAAATGGGAAGCACTTTTTCTCCCCACTTTTTCCAGCAGTTATGGTTGTTAAATGACAAACAGGATCTGTGAAAAAGCTAAAAAAAAATAGATAAATCAAGAAACCAACTATAATAGTTTTTAAAAATTCGTCTAATAAATTGAGCAAGTTGAGAGAACATATGATAACAGCGTGGAAATACTTTGCTCCTTTACAGAAGTCCTAATTCTGGCAAAAAGAAAGCACTTGAAGGTGATTTTTATTAATCAAATTCCTCTTTGGGAGATTGAGTATTCCTCTTTGGGAGATCGACATTCTGGGAAACTTGCATTCCTCTTTGGGAGTTGAAACTGGCATTACACAAAATAGAGGGGAAAGTAGTGAGTGTATATTGTTCCTGCTATTATACTAAAACAACAGTTAAGGTTTATTTCCCTAATTAAATATGGCTACGGAGAAGGCAGAAAATCTGAATCCACCAGATTTATCGGAAGAATTGGAGGCGAGATTAAACAACATTGACCTTTCTGAATCTGAAGTATCAGTCATTGAGTTAAAGGACGATGACATCAAAATTAGCGATGAAGAGTGCAAAAGGAGTTTGTTTGGGAAAGTAATCGGAGATCGGAAAGCGAGTGTGTTTGGCATTAGAAGAACGATGGGAGCAATTTGGCAAATTCGCGAACCTGTGGAGGTCAGAGAATTGAAAAATAATTTTTTTCAATTCATTTTTGGTAACATACCGGACAAACAGAAAGTTGCTTCAGGAGTGAACTGGATTTACGACAACCAATACCTGGTATTACGAGAATGGGAGGAGGGGCTCAACACATCACACAATGGCTTCTCAGAAGTGACTCTATGGGTGCAGGTAAATAACATACCACTGAATTAGCTTTCAACAGATGTGGGATTAAAGATTGGGCGCATTTTCCACAAACTCAAAAATGTCAATGTAGTACGAGCAGGAGGTGTTAGAGGCAGTTTCCTTCGTTTGCTGGTAGTTGTGGATACAAACAAACCCCTACCCAGATGTGTCTGCATCAAGCTTCATGATACTCAGTTGAAGGCATCATTCCAGTATGAAAAACTAGTTAATGCTTGCCATTACTGTGGAAAGATTGGGCATCTGGAAAGAACTTGCACTAAAAGGTCTGAAGACATATCCAAAGGAGAGGTGAAAGAAGGCCAATACGGTGATTGGATGAAAGCCCAAGAAGGAAATTATGGCTTCAGGAATATGTCCACTACTCATAATAATAGTCAGTCAAATGATTCTCAACATCTGAACCACTTGAATGAAGATCAATCTTCAGTGAAACCAGGGGAAGATCATAGTTCTGGGAGTAAGAGACCAGGCCTTTTCTTAGAGCATCACAAGGAGGGGACTCAAAGCTCCAAGGAGATACCCTCAGAGCCGCAACAAGAGAAGAATGAAGGTACACTAATCACACATTCTCAGGCATTAGTGCTGATGGAATTTACAAATTCAGAGGATGTAAATCAAGCAACTGAGGTAATGGAGGAGATGGTACCAGATAATCAACAAGCGACACTCTTGGAAGAACAGCAACTGATGGAGGTTCCAGTGTCAGAATTCACTATTCCCAAACCAAAGAGAAGAGGGTGGAAGAGGAAAGAAGGTAAGGAAATGCAGAAAACCAGAAATCCCTCTTTATCTATATCTGCTTCAAAAAGGAAATCTCCAGCAATTGAAGAAGATCTGGCAGACAGTACAAACATTAACATTCAAAGGAGAGTTCCCAAGAAACTGAAATCCAAAGTCTCAGAGGTGGAGGTGGCCAGCCTTAAATGGGCCCCAAGTGCCCAATGAAGCTCATTGTGTGGAACTGTAGAGGGCTGGGTGGGCCCGGTACAGTTTCCCAACTAAAGGACTCACTAAGAGTCCACCATCCACAAATTATACTATTATCAGAAACAAAAAAACAAAAACATTATGTTAGAACTGTCTGCAACAAGCTTGGTTTTGGGGGTAGATGGATGGCTGTAGATCCTGTGGGGTACAGTGGAGGGCTAGCTGTGTTGTGGGATAGAAATACTACTATTATTCAGGTTTTGTGTCATTCATTTTGTGTAGAGATGGAGATTGCTGATGAAAAAGGGGATGGATCATTATGGGTTGTTCTGGTTTATGCTAGCACAGACAGAGGAATGAGAGAGCAACAATGGGAATTTCTAATTCAAGCCAAAGCAAAATGGGGATCCAAGTGGGTGATTGGAGGGGATTGGAATGCCATACTCAGCAACAGTGAAAAGGTGGGAGGCAGAGACAAGGGAGTTGAGGAATTAGCTGAGTTCCAGGATTTTGTCAACAATATGGAAATGTTGGAGGTTGCAATGCAAGGGCACCAATTTACCTGGTGCAACTTCAGAAGAGGAGAGGATTTTATAGAAGAGAAATTAGATAGAGTGTTTGGATCATTTGAATGGAGCCAGCAGCACTCAAATGCCATGGTTATTAACTGTATTAAAACTGCATCTGATCATGGGTTGCTAGTATTATCTGATGAAGGGTTTCAATTGAGCAGGAGAAAAACCAGGTTTAATTTCGACAGCAGATGGTTGAAAAGAGAGGGGGTGCAAGAAGTTGTTTCAAATGCTTGGAGATTACAGGCTACTGGCACTCCAATGTTCCAAGTAAAAGAGAGAATCAGACAAACCAGAATTACATTGTTAAAGTGGAGCCAGATTTTTAAAGAAGACACAGTGGGGAAAATTGAGAAATTAACAGTGGGATTGGAGGAGTTAAGAGCTCTTGGTGGAGATAGAGACTGGGAGGAATGGAACAGGTTGAAGAGAGAACTTGATGAGGCTCAATGCTCTGAGGAGGAATTCTGGAGACAAAAATCCAGAAAGCAATGGCTCAATGATGGAGATAGAAACACCAGGTTCTTTCATGCCCTGACTATGCAGAGAAGAAGAACAAATACAATCTCAAAAATTGTATTGGAAGGCGGCAGAACATGTGGCACCAAACAAGACATTGGGACAGCAGTGTGCAATTACTATGAAAACTTATTTACATCTCATGGGAGCAATAATGAGCATCAGACTCTCTAATACATTCCTTGCACTATATCAGATGATATCAACCAAGGGCTGGTGGCTGAAATAGAAGAAGATGAAATAAAAAATGCTCTCTTCAGTCTAAACCCAGGAAAGGCTCCAGGAGAAGATGGTATGTCCCCCATTTTTTTCCAACACTTTTGGCCTATTGTGAAATCAGACATTTGTGAAGCTGTGCTGAGTTTCTTTGAGTCCAAAAAACTCTTAAAAAGCTGGAATCATACTGTTATTTGTCTTATTCCTAAATGTTTGAATCCCACTACTCTCAGTAACTTCAGACCTATTAGCTTGTGCAATGTTGTCTACAAAATCATTTCCAAGTTGTTAGCTTTCAGGATGAAAAATGTTCTTCATCATTGTGTTTGTGAAAATCAAGCTGCCTACATCCCAGGTAGGCAGCTCATGGATAATGTCATATTGGCACATGAGATGATACACTTCTTAAATAGACACAGATCAGGGAGAAAGGGATTTATGGCTATTAAGCTTGACATGATGAAGGCTTATGATAGAGTTGAATGGAGGAGTATTCATTTGATCTTACTGAAGTTTGGGTTTCATAGAAACTTTGTGGAGTGGATTATGGCATGTGTTACTTCTTCTGCTTTTTCTGTTAATATCAATGGTGAGATTTGTGGTTACTTCAAAGCATCTAGGGGCATTAGGCAAGGAGATCCCATTTCTCCATACATTTTCATATTGGTGTCTGAGCTGTTCTCTAGGCTTATCCAAAGGGAGATTGATTTGGGAAATATGTCTGGTGTTAGAATTGCTAAAAGAGGATGTCAATTATCTCACCTGTTGTTTGCGGATGACTCGCTGGTATTTTGTGGTGCTGATTTGAAGTCTGTGAGAGCTGTGCTTAATGTACTTGAATTATATCATAATTTTACTGGTCAAAAGGTGAACTTCAGCAAGTCTTCTTTATTTTTTAGCAAAAATGTGGGCTCCACTCTACAAGCTGAGATATGTAACAGTCTCAATGGCATCCAAGTACATAACTCTTCAATGTACCTTGGACTACCTTTGGGAATTGGCAAATCCAAGAGACAAACTTTTGAATATGTAGTGGAGGCTGTCAGGAGCAAAATATCTGGATGGCAGAATAAGTTCCTATCATTTGCTGGGAAAGAAGTACTTATGAAGTCTGTGCTCTGTGCTCTCCCTATCTTTTCCATGTCCTGTTTCACCATGCCAGCTGCTATCTGTGACAAAATTGCAAGTTTGTTGGCAAAGTTTTGGTGGTGCAAGGGAGAAGGGCAGAGTGCTGGTATTCATTGGAAGGCCTGGAAGATGCTGACTTTACCCAAGAAATGGGGTGGGCTGGGTTTTCATGACTTGAAGCTGTTCAATGAAGCTCTAGTTCTTAAACAAATATGGAGAATAGCTACCATGCCAAATCTACTTGTGAGCAGGATCTTGAAGGGCAAATATTTCCCACAGGGGAGCATTATAAATGCACAAAAAACCCAGAGCTCCTCATGGTTATGGTGTACATGGATGACAGTGAAAAACAAGCACAAACAATGTTTCAGGAAGGTGGTTGGTGATGGCTGCTCAACAAACATTTGGAAAGACCCTTGGATAACAGCTTCCCTAACAGGTATTCCAAAGCTGAAAAACAATGTAATGACTGATGTGGTACATGTATGGGAGCTCATGGAAACTGGAGGTAGGAGATGGAACTTCAATCTGTTGAGGGAGTTGTTCTCCGAAGATGATTACAAAGCCATTATGCAAATTAGTACTCTCTATCCAGCTAAAAATGATCATTGGATCTGGGACAGCAATGCTAAAGGAGAATTTCAGGTTGCCAAAGCTTACTCCAAATTTGTTGAGCAAAAATTCAGGAACCTCGATATAGCTGAAGGAAGCAGTAATGTCTTAAGGAGAAGGAAGTCACGGTTGAGAACTTGGAATTTGAACATCAAAGGAAAACTGAAGCACTTTGTATGGAGAAATCTAACAAACACCTTACCAGTCAGCATCAATCTTGCTCAGAGGGGGCTTTAAGTTGACTGCATTTGCCATAGATGTGGACAGGAAGCTGAGATAGTTGAGCATCTCTTTTTTCACTGTGAGATTGCCAAGCAAGTGTGGAAATTGGCTCCGGTGACATGGGATTTTGGATTAGAAGCTACAGTCAACTTTAGAGTTTGGTGGGAAGATGTGTGCTCAGTTGACAAGAGAGAGATATCTGAAGCTCGAATACAGTTAACCACCTACATCTTATGGTGGTTATGGAAATCTCGGAATTTGTGGGTCTTCAAGAAGGAATGGATGCCAGGCCAAATAATCATCAGAACAGCAGTAGCAGAATGCCAGGAGTTTTTAACAAGAGGAAAGAGATGAGTGCAATGGGGTAATGAAGGGAGTTTAGGTGCCTCGGTTTCAGTGAACACTTCATTTCTCAATGCAGTCTTCTTCCTGTTTTCCCCTTGGTCCTGGTTTTGTTTCTATTTTAGTTATATTTTGTTGTTGTAGCTGCATATTAGAATTGGTTAGTGACTTTGTTGTATAAACCTGCTGGGGCTAGTAGTTGTTTGTTGCTGCAGGCTAAGGGTCATGGTGATGTATTGCTGCCTTAGTTTATGCATGCCTCTGGTCAGGTTCAGATTTTTAGGTTATAGGCCATCTGTACTGTAAGGGTGGTCTCTTTGCTTTGATGCATTGAGCGTATTGCTCCCGGTTGTATTATTTGTACATTGTTGATTTAATATATCCTATCNAAAAAGAAAGCACTTGAAGGTGATTTTTGTTATTATTGTTATTTTTAATCTAAAACCTGAGAATCACTCAATTTTGGAGTATTATATCATTCTTATTAGGCATTTGTAAAAATCTTCTGTTGAATAAGCGCTTTTGGTCATTGATATCCATCATATGGCGGTACCCCACACGAGTAGAGTGGATGTCCATCAAAACTTTTTAAGTTTTTCACTTGTCAAGCGAAAAAGATAAAGAATAGATTATTAAAGCTTTCAGTATTATTTTATACTCTTCTATTTCATCATCTGTTAACTTGTAAACATCCTTGCTAGTCTCTTGCTTCTGAGTTGGTCCCTCGTGTTAAAAGTTGTCCGTCTAAAGCCAAAGGTTGCGAAATTAGTTCTATACAATATTGTTTGGTTGGGTAATAATTGTTGTTCTTTTTCGGTTTCTAGAAAAACAGAGTAGATAAAAATTTGTGAGAGGAAATGTAGAATGAATTCAGAGATGAGTGTGATTGGGGATACACGATAAAAATTTATGTGAAATGATAATAAATTAATAACTTGTGGTATTTCGTTTGTGTGGTTATAAATAGACGCAATTGATAATAATTGAAATGATTAGAATAATTGATTGTGTGCCGTGTAAAACAAATCACTCTTTTATACAATTCCAGAATGTGTTGCGACTTGAGACTAAGTAGTCGGATGCTTCAGGATCGTATGTGACAAATATTCATGTTTTGTCATTTGACTTTGTTCGTGAAATGAACTTCACTCAGGCTATTTCGACTCGGACGGCCTCCATACCTGCAAGAACCCGTCGGGCCTCCGGCGCTCAAGTCAATATCACTACAAAACTCCAAATCCCAAGTTTATAGTAATGAATACAGAGAGGGTGCGAGAATGAGATATTTTAGCCCCACTTTATAGGGGGAGTGTACCTTATGGCCCAAGTTGGGCTTGTCCAATACTATCATGCCACGTATCCTAGCCCATGTGTAGGCTTATTCTCCAATATATTTCCTTTTTATCCAATAAAAACCGGTCAAGTATAATATCTTATATCATCTAGTCCCCCCCACTCTGGTCGAGTAAGCATGACTCGATCCAAGAGTGAAATTCCTCTTCGGAATGTTTCCGTCAACCTGCTGCTGAGGTTAAAATTTGAATAAATCCTCGTCCACCAAATAGTCACCAAACCTCCAAATGAGCATCGGGACCCAAATGAACACTGAATGACCATTAAGATCGAAAAACCTGCCTCTGAGGTCGAACACCAAAAGACATACCACTGAGGTCGAAAATTGAATGACCTACCACTGAGGTCGAGAACCGAATGACCTGCACCAAATGACCACTGAGGTAAAAAACCGAGTGACCCACCGATGGGGTCAAACACCGAAAGCCGAGTGACCCACCACTGGGGTCGAAATCAAATGACCAATGAGGTCAAAAATCGAGTGACCCATCCTAAGGTCGAAAACCTAGTGACCCGCCACTGGGGTCGAACCTTGATTCTTAGAGTAGATTCCTATGCTCCTCATTTTGCAATGTCGACCTTCCTTTGCTATCTCCCAATATGCTTACTAGGACTTCCATGATACTTTGATAAATCTCCTCAATCTCTCCACGAAGTCTTGAATTTGAAAATTTGAACTCATGCCTGCTGTTTCTCGACCACAATGTTCGAGCTCTCTTCGCTCAAAGATAAACCTTTTCTATCACCTCGTCCTATCATCCCCCTCAGTTCAAAATTTGAAATTGAACCCTGCTGTTTATCCTCCCAAGAACCGAATATCCTGACGCTATATTAAAGTCGAAAAACTGAATTCGACAAACCAAATGAAACCATCGACCAGCC